GCTCCACCATACCTTGTCACACACAGCTCCACCTGGCTGAGCATCTGGATTTGTCTTAATATCCTTTCCAATAAATGAGTTAATATAATAAAAGTGTTTTCCTGAGTTCTGCAAGTCACTCTACAAACTAATATAACCCAAGGGCAGGTTTCTGGGAGCTGGTCGAACCGTAGGTGAGGAGTTGTGACCAGCATCTGAAGTGAGGTCCACCTTTGGGTCCGAGCCCTCACTCCATGGGAGCTGACTCTAACTCCAAGTAGACAGTGGCTGAATTGAATTGTAGGACACTCAGCTGGTGTCTGCAAAAGAACTGCTTGCTGTGTGGAAAAAACCCACATCTGGTGTCAGAGTGCTGCGTCGAGTAAGTAGTGGAAAGCAGAGGGGAGAGAGTTTATTTTTTCCTCTTACAGTTTCTCTCCATTTTCCTATATTATTAGGTCATCTTTAATTACTGTCAGCTGCAGCTTATGGGTTTCAGAGAACAGATCTTAAACATATTTGGTTAAATTTATCCCTAAGAATTTTGTGTTTCTGATGCCATTATAAACACTATGTACTTCCAATGGTTTATTGCTAGTACACAGAAATACAATCATTTTTGGACATTGTTCCTATATCCTGTGACCCTGTTACCCTCACTAATTAGTCCAGCTAGATGTTTATTGACACTTCGGGAGTGCCTGCGTAATTACACTGCTTCCTAGTAGAGACAGTTTTATTCTATCTGACGAGCCCCAACCTTTCTTATGTGCTTGCACAAGTGGGGATGTTCAGTATAATATGAGCAGCATGGAGAGGACACACAGCCTTGCCAGGACTCCTGGGCTAGGCAGAGGGCATCCTGCCACCTGTGTAAAGGGAGTGGTGAGGACACATGGCCTTGCCTGGTCCCCAGGGCTGGACCAGAAGTCAGTCTCACCACTTACTGCATGAGCAGGGGGTAAGGACACTTGGGCTCCCTGGTCCCCAAGGTCTGGATGGAGGTCGGTCCCTCCACCTACTGTGTGTAGTGAGAAGACATGGCCTCTTCCTTTCCCATTCATATTATAATCACTCTACTTGTCTGTGGAATTTTCCTTCTTTTCTTTTTGCAGCTTGCTGAGAATTTTCAATCTTGAGTGTCAAGTGTTTCACAAAGGCTTCTTCTGTTGGTCTCCTGAGATGTACATCTCCACCCTTATTCCACCAAAATCACTGGTTTTCTAAAGAGCACCACCTTGTCTTCCTGCAATGAACTTCACTCTGATTCCTTCACTCCCACCCCACCCCGCCTGTCCCCCACCATCCAGTCCCCCAGTTAGTCCTGCCCAGGCTGCTGTCTGTCCCTAGTCACCCACTTCCTACATTTTTTAACTCATTACCCAGAGATCGTGCTCCTGCCAAGACCAGGTTCCACACGTTGCCCCCCAATACACTCCACCAAATCTCTCAGTCAACACTCAAGGCCCCCAAGAACTAGGAGGACACACACCCCAGCACCAGTGCTCCGAGGCCAACCCTTGCCACAGTACCACACACACAGCTACCATTCCTCCCTCTCTATCACATTCCAGGTCATGAAGCCACATCTGCTCCTGGCCCATGTGACCCACTCCCAGCCCACAGGAGTGCTGATCACATGAGAATAGACCTATCTGTCCACAGGCCCACGGGACCCCATATGCTGGTCACATCAGGTTGGACAGGTCCATCTCCCCCTGCCCATGTGACCCCACGTGCTGGACTCCATAGCCTGACAGTCAGGGAAGCTTGGCCCAAAGTCTTCCTCGTGGTTACCCTGGCTGTCTCACCCCAGTCAACTTGCCCATCCATTTCTCCTAATGTCTCTGGTCTCTTAAATACAGAAATCCCAATCTGAGGTGAAGTAGTCACTGTCACTACCGGGGAACTTGGTGGTAGCCCAGAGCACTGTTGCCAACCCAGGGCAGAGGCCCTAGAGCCCCTGAGAATCCCTGGGAAGCCAGGCACTGTTCTCAGAGGAGAGCCCAGAGAAGAGCACTGCTATAAACCCTAAAAAACACAGACCTGAGGGGATTCCCAGAGCGGCTGGCCAAGGACAGGACAGGCATGGGACATGAAAAAGAGACTGTTTGCACCAAAAGGCAAGCAGAATCTGTGGCCACAAACCCAGCCCACTCTGGTCAGCCAGAACTCTGGTGCTGGTGAGGAAGTGCCTCATGGGAGGGTGGGGAGGCAGGGGCAGACTCCCTGGAGAAGCCCATCACAAAGGGGGCAGTGCCACCTAGTGGTGGCTGTTCTTGGGAACCCACAGAGCCCAAGTCGGATGTCCCCAAATGACAGCAAGACCCCAGCCTAAGGGCCAAAGGAGGTCAGAACACCTCAGGGAACTCAAGCGTCTGCTTCTGAGCACGTGGTAGGGAAAATGGATTGTCTCAGATCCCTGATGGCTGTCACGAAGTGGTATCTGACCTGGCAGCACAGCCACAGGTACCCATGCGTGAACAAAGAATGTGCACCTGTGCAGTTCCTTCTGCAGGGAGGCCAACCTACAGCACTAGGCCCCAGCCTCGTGCTCCCCTCCACCCAGTCCTAGTGCCACGTTTCATCTCACCAAGCACAGGCTTCACTGAGTCACTCCTCCTGCTCAGCTCTAGTCACTGCCCAAAACCTTCCCCATAGGACAGCAAGGAAAAGACAGAAAGGCAAAATCCTCAGCACTGGCAATTTTCAAGGTCACCACAACTCTTAAGTCCAGCCCTTAGAGACATCAGCACAGAAATCTGCATTTTCTCCAAACTCCAAGTGACTTTTTTTTTTTTTGGAGACAGTTGCTACTATGTTGCCCAAACTGGTCTCAAACTCCTAGGCTCAAGCAATCCTTCTGCCTCAGCCTCCTGAGCAGCTGGAACTACCAGTGTGTCCCACCATGCCCAACTTAAAGTGAAGAAATTTTTTTTTTTTGCCTTGTTTCTGACAATCAAACCTGGAGCCTTACACATGCTAAGCACATGTTCTACCCCTGGGCTAGACCCACAGCTCTCAAACTCCAGGTGATTCTGATGAGGGACCATGTTTAATACCACATATGTGCATCCAATGGACCGTTATATGACAAGTGACCACAAGACAGTAAATACTCAGACACCCACCTGGGCGTGCACAGGGAACATGAGGCAGTGGCACTGCAGCATAAGGCACCCACAGCAACCCAAGAAGGCCCAGGGAGATAGAGGAAGCCTGAGAAGTAAAACCTGCCCCACACGAAAGCTACCAGGGAGAAAAAGCTTAGGAACCAAGTGGGCCACCCACAGGAAGAAGGCACCCTCTGCCTTCTCAAAGGACAGGAGCACCATGAGGCACCTACTAAGGATGGGATCTTGCTGAATCTTCAAAAGCATGAGAAGCCATGAGAAAGAAGATGGGCCGAGGGAGTACAGCTGCATGGGAAGGGTTTCGCCACCCAGGGTGGGTGCAAGCTCAGACCCACTGTCCCAGGGAGGTCACAGAGCACCATGAGTACTCAGGCCTCCCTCAGTACTCAGGCCAAACCTCCCTCCTGCCCATCTTGAAGCTGGTAGTGGGCACAGGCCTCACCCACTCTATCACACCCTGGCCTGGGACAGAGGAGAAGGTACAGCAGATGGAACACTTGCCCTCATGCCAGCCACACTCATGACATGCAGACATGGGTTCAAAGAGCTCAAAGGGAGAAGGCGGACATTCCCACAAGGCCACGGAAGCCTATGCCACTCAGGCCAGAGAACCTGCCTGGCTGACACTGAGTGAGTGCCATTCTGCAGACATCAGGCCATGGCATGCCAATGCTTCCACAGGGCTGGTCCCGCTGGGTATGAGGGGCCTCTAACCTCCCTCACAAGAAAGAAGTCACAGAGGCTTCCTGGCTGACCAGAGTAACCCTGGGAGCTGGCGGGATCCTCAGGCAGCTGCTGAGCCCAGAGAAGAGGAGGAAGCCATAGTAGCAGGCCCTGCCAGGCAGCCCATGGACTTCAGAGAGAACAGCACCTCGTCTGCACTCCACAACCAGCAAAGCAGAGAGCAAATTCAGAGGTACTGTCAAGTGACAAAGAACTGAAGCTAATACTGCCACTCAGAAGCTAGCAGGTTACTGAGTGGACAGCGTAATGACGGGACGTGATGGCTCAACTCATTAAGAAAGTCTCAATCCTGGCCTCATTTCCCAGGGCATCGAGAAAGATAACGAGGAAGCTGAAAATCTAGATATTTTATGACCAAAAAAAACAAAAGGTTCCCTAAACCCCACAGGCCTGTGCCCCAGGCTCTGATAGCTCATCTGGAAGACCAGGCTGCACCTTCTCTAAGACTGGGAGCAGACTGGACAACCAAAAGGGGATAATAGTCTGCAATGACCTCAATAGGTCACAGTAGCTAATGGGCAGGCCACAACTGAGCCACTGCTGAGACAAGTAGTGGACCAATGGGATCAGTAATGGGAACACCCTGTCCTTTGTCAGAATACAATGCCCCACAGCCACAGGTAGGCTCCCCAGCAACTGACCTGTGGCCCACTCTACACCCACCCGCTGGCTTAACAAACTGCCTGCAAGAAAATGCTACAGAGGCCCAAGTCATACAAGAATCTTCTGCTATGATGTTTGTTTTTTTTTAATCCTAAATCTCAGTTCATTCCCAGTGATTACAATCACCTAGGAGAAATAATTCTTCCCAAAAGCAATAACTTCCTCAGCACAGAGTCCTCTAACAAGCCCGACAATGCAGGGCAACCAGACAGCCACCCCCTCGCTGCTGTAAGTAGTCTGGTTTTCAGCAGAGGTGGTACAAGACTTCAGCAGAGAAGAGCCACACGGTTGATCCATTTCCCTCCCACGGCTCCAGCCTCATTAAACCTGGGCAGCATGAGACAGAGCCCCACACACACTGCCAGCCACAAACAAGAATGAGGTAGAGGACACTGAGCAAGGAGGAGGGGCTACCCGCCTGCTCACCAGTGGACTGGCGTGGACACCAGCAGCCCGAGAAGGAAGGACAGCCACACCCACCTGAGTTTCAAACCTGTGGTCTGGTCCAGCGTCTCCCAGCATTGCAGCTTTGCCAGCAGCCTCTGAAAAGACAGTTGAAGCCGCGTCTCCATCAATGTGTGTCAAGTGACATGCAAACAAAACTGATGATGGCAGTGTAAGTCCCCCAACATTTCAGAAAGGTCTGCTGAATCCCAGAGCTCAGATGGACAAATGCTCCACATCTCTGAGCCACCCAGGCTGCTCCCAGGTGAAGTTACACTGCACACTCAGCCTCACCAGGCTCAGCCCATAAATTCAAGCGGGAATGCCAAGTCCTAGGAAGAAGAACTCAGTCCTAGACCCAAATACCCCTACACTCCCCAAAGGCAGGCTAGGACCAGCACACCAGGATGGCCAGCCTGAAGAACAAAGTGGGGCAGCACTGCCCACACACGGCTCCATGACAGCACAATACCCAGAAGCTGCGCTTCCCCCCTTCCCACTTGAAGCAATCTGATGGCAAGGACCACATGCTTTATTTTTTCTTTTCTTTTCTTTTTTGAGACCAGGTCTCACTATGTAGTCCAGTCTGGCCTCAAACTTGTGGTGATCCTCCTACTTCAGCCTCTCATCCTCAGTGCTAGGATGACAGGCATGTGTCACCACGTCCGGCTAAAGGCCACATGCTTTTGATCTGACCTCCTGTCACCTCCTCCTGGTGCCCAGCAGACTGCTGTCACCAATGGTTCACTCAAATATTTCCAGAGCCTCTTGAGGTGCCAGAGGGGCCTGGCTGACACCTCCTCCATAGCCGGTGCTGCAGAACACATACTGTGCACCAGGCTCTGCTCTAAGCATTTCACACAAGGCAGACGCTGTCAGCCCTCCTCACGTGTACAGAGACAGAGCACAGCTAAGGACTGGGTCCAGCATCACACAGCCATCGAGCATCCACAGCAGGACTTCAAACTAGGTGTGGCTCCACAGCCCCCAGTCTTAAGCAATTTGTTAAACTTCTTAAAATTATGTCAAGAGAAAGAGAGAAAAGTAATTGGCCTGGGACCATCTCTCCAGCCAAGGGGCAGCTCAGGAACTGGCCAATGCGATGGGGCAGTCAACAGGGCCAAAATGCAGTCTGACATTAACTCTCCTCCAGAATGGGACAGGATTGGAACAGTGACCCAGTGCATGCCAGACAAACCAGGGAAAGAGGGTGACAGAGTGACCACAGGGAAGAAGCATGAAGGACAAAGACCCAAGGAGCCAGCAGGCCTAAGCTCTGGTCCAAACTCACTGGACACCAGGCAAGAGAGGGAGCTTCTCTGCCCACAGGTGACTCCAATGCTATCCAGCATGGGCATCTTCCCACAAAGCCACCAGTGACTCACAAGAGCAGACATACGGAGAAGACAGAAGCACAGGTCTCCTCTGTAGCTGTCTCACAGGCAATGCCTGTCATTTCCTCCCTGACTCACCATCTGCATGTGTTTTCCGCATAAACTCAGTGGCTTCCACTCTAATTCTCTTATAGCACTTTAGTTCAGAAACCAAAACCAGGTCTCAATGGGCTAAAATCAAGGTGCGACCAGGGCTGGTCCCTCCTGAAGGTTCCTAGGATAGGCTATCTCCTGCTTTTCCAGGTTCTAGAGGTACCTGCATCCCTCAGCACAGGGCCCCTTCCTCCATCCACACAGCCAGCAGCACCTAGACAGCCCCCACCTCCCTGAGACTGCACATCCCACCTGGATAATGCAGGGTCCTCCCCACTGTGGCCAGCAGGTCAGCAAGCTCATCCCCTGCTGCCCACAGTAACACCTTCATAGGTTCTGGATTAGGACGTGGAGCTCCTTGAGGGCTGCCTTTTTACCCAACACAACACCATACCAGCAGCCACACCACAGGTGACCAGCTGCTACGTGTGACAGATGCCCAGGGTCCTCTGGGAAGGCAGAGGACAGCCCTGCAGGCATAGCCCACCAACCAAGACCCTCACCTCCTTCTCCAGCTCCAGCCCAATCAGAGCTTCCTGTATCTTCTCCTGCCGGCCCAGCCGCCGCTGCAGCCCTTCTAGCTCCTCTGTGAGCAGCCCGTTGGTGTCCCTCATCTCCCTGCAGGGACAGAAACAGTGAGTCCAGCAACCACAAAGGCTGAGGATGAACCCAGGGCCAGGAATGCAGGGGCCTGCCCCATAAACCCTAATTCCGCTGCTCCCCAAGTCCTCAGTCCCTCACCGCAGGTACGTATTCTCCTCCCGCAGCTGCTTCAGCTCCCGCTCCACCCTGGGCAGCCTCAGCAGCTCAGACTTCATGCTCCTTACGACAGCGGCATCCTGCTCTTGCAGGCACAGTTTCTGCTCCAGGTCCTGACAGAAGCAGGCGGGAGAAAGGAAAGAAGGGTAAACAGCAGGCACGAAGAGAATTCAGGCTGGGAGGCACAAACCAGGAGGATCCCTTGTGGGACACTCAGAGGAGGCAGAATATCAGGGTGTGAAAGAGTAGGGGCTGCCCTGCTCAGCCACCTCCCCACTGCCGACCCAGCAGAGGCCCCTCCTCCAAGAAGCCTTCCCCCACTGCACTAGGTGGCCCCCTGGGCTGCGTCCTTGCCACCTGCTTCCAGAGCAGCCCGTCTGCTGTGCCAGCACCCATCCACACCACCACCTGCCCTCAGTCTCAGGAAACAGAAGTCTGCTGCACATCGGCCCCAACATTCCCAGCAAGACACCTGCCTCCTGCAGCACCTGCCACAGCGAGTCTGCTCCAACTGTGAGGACAGACTTTCCTTCACAGTCTGCCACCTTGGGACTCATCAGGACAGCACTGGCTTCTGTGACAAGTCACAGAACAAGCGGAGTATGCAACCAGGACCAAGTCAATAAACAAGCTCCCATGGAGCGCAGTGATGTCCAGAGAACAGGTCGAGTGACAGGGACCAAGTGATACTGAAGACAAATCAGGCTGTTCACACAAGCCCAAAGCTGCAGAAGCCAGGACGAGATCCAAGGAAAAGGAAGCCGGGATGCTGGATAAACCAGTAGCCCAGGACAACAGGAGCAAAGCCCTAACACCTGAGGACTGCCCAGGCGCCCACGATAGGAGAACCACAGGCAGCTGGCACCATAGGCCTCCAATGGGGCCCAAGTGTTACTCCGAAGGCAACAGGAAGCCATAGAATGGATCTCAAGACACTGTCTCTCCCGAAGTGTCCCCTGCAGTGAAGGACCGAGGCCTGACACTGCATCAGAAGGACCCAGCTCAGGCATGCTCCTGTCACATCCCTGGGAGTAGGGTTTCTACCTCTCCAGCGCACTTCAGGCCACTGTCCACATCTACCCCTTGTTTTTCCTGTGCATCTTCCACTAGGATTCGAACTTTCTATGATCAGAAGTGCCCATCCCACTAACGTGGCCTCCCTGGCACCCAGCATGGTACTTGGCATGCAGGAGACAACCAGCTAACACCCACAAATGCCACTGAGATACCCCTGGCTCAGAAAGGCCTCTGGGTGGCAGGAGGGCAGAGACCACCTGCCCTCCACATGATGTCTTCATATCCACATATGATGTAGATATCTACCTATCTACATATATATATGATGTCTTCATATCTACAGGATGCATACCCAGAGCCTGACACAGAGTGACCCACCTTAATCTTCTGTTCCTGGTCTGCTCTAGCTTCTTGGCTGGCCTGGAGCTCCTGAATTTTCTGATTTGCTTCCTGCCATTTTCTAATAAAGGAAGAGTACATCAGATCCAGGAACAGTCAGCCTGAGTCCACCAGCACAGACTCATGCCTTCGTCCTATAAGGGTGCTCAAGTCCTGGAGCAGTTTACACTGGTTCTGGGGCCTTGAACTCCTGGAGAGGGGCCACACAGTGGGGAGCCTGGCCCCACAGCACCCCACAGCTCTCTGGGCACCACTCTCCCTGGAAAAGCTGGGAGAGGGCCTCTCAAGTCTGACTGTTCTTCTTCACCAGGGAGTAGACACACCTCCAACAATACTTGCTAGGAAAAAGGCCAACTCTTCAGAAGAGAACTTCATGCCTCCAGCTAGCACCCACCCGGACCTCACACATCTCTACCTTGCCTAGTGTGTCCCCTGCACCTGGAACAACCTTTGCCATCTGCAACCCACCCACCTCCAGGGACATCCTGCATGCCCTTCAAAACCCAGCTCAGCACAACACCTTCTCTGGAAGGCTGCTGCCCCGCCCCCTAGCCCTGTTTCAACTCAGGAACATTTCAGATGCTCCCTATTCTGGCACTCACTGTTTCAGCCTAAGTGCCTCAGCACCTGGCCTTCCTGCAGGTCCACGCCCTTCACCTGTGCTGCAGGTCGAGCTGCTCCTGGAGCTCCTGCTTCTCAGACGCCAGCCGTTTCACCTGCACTTCCTGGTCCATCAAGCTCCACTGCAACTCTGAGACTCGTCCCTTCAATGTGCTGATCGTCTGAAAGCAGAGGCAGCATGCTGAGTCCAGGCCTGTGCAGAGGCAGGCCTGGCTCTCACAGGAGATGAGGGGCAAAAGGAAGAGCCTGTCGCCTCCGTATGGCACCTGGGGAGAGACAGAACCCCTCTTCTGGGGAGCATGCACCTGGGTAGCACAGACAGAAGCATCGCAGCCCAAGGCCCTGACTCATGCTCCACATGAGACAACAGACAGATCCAAGTCACGGCAGTGCCTAGGAAAGCTGGTCCCACTAGGAAGGAGGCTCTAGAACCGAAAGCCAGGATGAGCCCATTTCTCAGGCCAGGTACCATTTAGCCTCCATGGCCGTAACATGCCCACAGCGTCCACATCAACCAGGTGTCCACCTCAGCTGTTATCATCATACTCCTACCCTAGAATCCTTTCCCTAGCCACGTCAGTCCTGCTGCCACACCAGCCATCAGTGAGGACACAAAACCCACAGGCCAGCCAGATGGGCTGGAAGCTGCTGGGTGGCCACGTGCTCAGAATAGGAGGTATCCCCAAGGCGAAGTCAGCAGTGCGCACCCAGAAGCCTCCAGGAGAGGACAGGACAGGAATCCACCACACACTGGACCCCGTGAAGGAACTGCCCTCGTCCTCTCGGCACACTCATTCAGCAACCTCCCTCTGGAGCTGTCCTAGGGGAAGGACACTGACCAAGTATGCTTAACAGCATCACATAAATTAACCAGGGAAACGTGTCAGCGTCAACCCCAGGAAACCTGCACATGGAGGGCAAGACATGGGTGCAGCAAACTCACCACAGAAGGGATGCTGGTTCACCATCTGGGTGGCTAGGGGCCCAGGTCCCTGCCCAGGCGGCACCTTTTGCAAACAGAAGCCACAGACTTGCTTCCCTGCCTGGAGAACCTGCACCAACCCAGGGCCCACTGAAATGCATCCATGCTATTTACCACATGGCCCTCTGGGGAGTCAGACACAGACACCCCACACTCAAGCAATCTGCACAACTCACTATGGCAACAGTGAGCATTAGTCTTGGCAAAAAAGAATGGGAGAATCAAAAACACAGACAAGAACAAACCCTTCCTTGAGAGGCCCTATTGAACTCAATAAACACACTAGGGGCACCAAGGCTAGCCAGAGACAGCCGTCCTAATGAAGGACAGAAATGTGGGAGGTCAGACACTCAGCAAGCAGAAAGGTAAATAAGAGAACTGCAGAGTTATAAATCAGGGGACTGTGATGGGAACATGCTGTCCAGGGCAGGGGCCTGTGACCGTGGACTGAGTGATTAGGAGGACCTTTCTGAGGCACTACTTCACATCCAAGTGGCCCCGTTGGGACCACCTCTTCTGCTCTACCCTGAGGCTATGTGTGGCTCCTCTCCGACACAGAATAGTGGGACCGCCCAGAACACAGGCCTGGGACCCAGGGCACAGGCGAGCCATGAGGGCTCTTCTTTGGAAGCTGGCCTCACCTCCTCTCCTGCCAGCACTCACTGCAACAGACAGGTGCAAGAACACCTTAGCATGCTCCCTGGCACTCCCACAGCAAAGATAACCTTCGGCCTCCCTGTGTATCTAGCAAGAGAAGAGCGCAGCATGGAGATGGAATACCAATGATGGGACACAACCCATCCCCAGGGGCAGCTCTCATCCCTTTCCTCTTGGCACCTGTGATCTTGAACACTGCAGAACAGGGACAGGAAGGTCAGAGGATCCCAGTGCCCACCGGCGCCAACACTCGGGCTGTCTCTAAAACACACACAGCCTTCCTTCGGACTGCAGTTCACAGGCACTGGGTTCAAAGGCATTCCTTGATGCCAGGAAATGCTAACAGACCTTGCTGATAATCAAAGAAATGCAAATCCAGAGGCACCTACTTATATCTTCTGGGAAAAAAGGAAATACTGCCCAAGGATCCTACCACCCAGGACAGGGAAGGTGACAGCAGTCAACCCTGCAACACCCAGAGAGCTGCCTTAGCCTCCTCTCAGCCTGCTCCTAAGGTCTGTCCACACAAAAGAGTGCTTGCTACAGGAGCCAACAGGCTGCACCTAGGACACTGTCTGCCACAGACACGTCAGGGTAAACACAAGAAATGAATGCTTGAAATAACAAAATTCATAATTACAAAGACCAAAGATCACTCAACCTCTTAACTAAAAAACAAAGAATGAATCACATACAAAGGAAAAGCCCATCAGAATCACAGCAGACTTCTCAAGGCAAACCCTCAAGGCAAGAAGAGCTTGGAGTGATGTATTTCAAGCCCTAAAGGAAAACAGCCTCCAACCCAGA